AACGGAAATAAGGCAAGTTCTTTCTGTGCGGCCCGGTACCAAATGCCCGGCGGACCGGTACCGGTCCGCGGACCGGCGGTTGGGGACCCCTGGTCTAAACCATGTTATTTCTAACAGCACCCCGAGCAGCCACAAGAAAGTACAAAAGTGCCCGAGTGGTACCTGCGATATCCCACAGCTGGAGGCGCACAGTCTCCTGGTCCAAGTTGAGCACTTTGAGGGCAAAGTCTACACCGATGGTGGCTCTGTAGTTTGGGCTAAAGTTGTGGTGTACATAGCGCTTGATGATGCTGGTCTTGCCCACGCCCAGGTCTCCTATAACCAAGATTTTGTAGAGGTGTTCTTTGGCATGGTTGTTCTGCATGGTGGGCGAGGAGGGCAAGGGCCAAGCATGAATCCACTCGAGTGGAAGCGGCCACGGGACGAAGAAGTGAGGTGGAGAGTTGGGAGTGAGCTTGTAAGGAAAGGGGAGGTGAACTTGGAATGATCCAGTTTGTGTGTGTGTGTGTGTGTTGGGTGGGGCTGGGAATGAGCTATTGGGTTGGGACAACCTTGTGACTGACACTGAGGGGTGGCCTGGGTGGTTTCATGGCCCGCAGGATATGAAAACAGAAAAGCGCAGCAGCCACAGATGTATATCGGTGTTTCTTAGAAAGTAAAGTCCAGCAAAATTTTCAATATTTTTTTTGCCTTTACAATCAAATAGTATAATATATATGTGTGTGTGTGTGTATATATATATATATATATATATATATATATATTTTTTTTTTTAACTCACTGAGATATGTGCTGTCATTTGTCTGTGAGTGGTGGTCCGGCCCGGTGGTCCAGTGGTTAGCGCGTCGACCTCACAGGCACGGGGGAGAACATGCAAACTCCACACAGGGGGCGGGGCGGTCCTGGAATTGAACCCTGCATCTCTGTACTGTGAGACGGATGTGCTAACCAGTGGACACTGTGCCCCCAGTACACAATCAAATACAACAAAATATACACACGTTACCGTACAACATATAATAAGTGACACATGGAGAACAATACTGTGCCTTTTCTTCATTTCCCCCATAACTTATCACGTATTTCCAATTGTTAATTTGTTTAGAAGCAAATAATAATAAGTCTAATAATAAGTTTAAACTTTGTGGAACAGCCTGGTCAGCTGTTCAATCTGAAGGTCAGAAGAAGCCACAAGATGCAATGTAACTGGTAAAGAGTGGGAAAAAATAATCGGCATTAATTAAAGTGTTCCTGTAATTTGTCATAAGCCATCTGATTAACATCACAACATTGTGTGTTAAAAAAAAAGGTGTTTTAATGTGAATGTTTTGACAGCGAGACTTGTGTTCATTATGATCTCCCTTTATTATTATGAAAGGCACACATCCAGTTTAACACTGATTCACTGACATCAGAACAGCCAGTGTGCTTCCCTGAGATAAACAAGGCCCTGATTGGCAGGTATTACAAAGTAACCTCACATGACTTAACCCCTTTACATAATTACAACCTCACATCTGTTGGTACAACCCACACAAACACGACACAATCACTGAGGAGACATCGATGCATTTGAAATGCATTTTTAAAATCATAACCGACTTGTAAAGGTGTTCTTCACAAGTGGAACTGAAACTAAAATCTAACCAGCATACTTGTGATTTCCAGTTTGGGATACGGTTTCGTCATTAAACTGTCAAACCACACATGCACTTGCACGAGAGCTCACTGACAGGGCATCATAAAAAAAATTTTAAAAGCCTCTAGAGTTTGGGGATGGGCTTGGCTGCAACTGCGATGCTTTCGATGGAACACTCATCGCTTCCCCGGCGGATTCTGAAATAGCCCCCCTCTCCCCAGCTGGTGCCCCAGCTATTCTTGACAACCCAGTACTTCTGGCCAGTCATCTGACAGCGGCCGTAGCCCACCAGCAGCACGGCGTGGTTGGTCAGCTCGAAGGGGTTGAAGGAGTCGAAGATGCCCGTGTGGTGGTAGATGCCCTCCTTGTAGTACATGAAGTCTGGGTACACCTGCAAAGGAAGTGATAACGTACCACTGCATGCCCATTCCATATCCTCCGGCGCTCAATTCATGACAATTGTAGTTGGAACTGGAAGGAGAACGAGAATACCGGTAGTTTATACCTCAAAGGCCACTGCCATAGGGCCATTCTGGACCAGTTCCAGTATCATGGCTTCCTCACTGCAGCCACCATAAAATCCTCCCACATAGCTGTATTCCGCAACGTAAGCGCGGCCGCAGTTTTTAGGTATGCCGCAGGGAGTGTTCTTTCCAACGTATGGAAAACAGGACTCGTCCACAATACCGAAATCCTGGACGTACTTTCCGATCAGGTATGGAAAGCCGCCATCGCAACCTGAAAAATGAGAGAGGAGGAAAGAGTTGAGACCTTAGTTGGGTCAACGATGAGACTTTGAATAATAACTGCCCAGAGGAAATACAAAACTAGAACACAGCCTATCCTAGCAATCCCCAAGTAATTAGATTAATCTGCTTGTGTCCACAAAACTGTATTCATGAAGTTCACGACATTAGCTTTAGCAATTATGAACATAATATTGCAGTGGTGATTTGTCTTAGGCAATGCTGTTTCGGAACTGTAACGTGTGAAACAGTTCCCATACCTTGGGAAAATTCAGAGCAGGAGACCACTTGTTGGGGGCTGAGTATGGGAGCCTCACTGTTGTTGGTTAGGATTCGGATGCGAGCCTCTAACATTCCCATGGAGGCGAAGGAGTAGCAGCTACCGCATGAACCTAAAGAAAAAAAATGTTTTGTTTGTTTTTGTTTTTTTTGTTAGAATTAATTGTAAAACCTGTGCCAATTAGTAAAATGAGCCTTTAAAGATTATTGTCTGGCATACCGCAAGAAATCAACTTTTGTGATATGAATCGGGGTTACATACTTAGAACACCCGCGTACTCCAAGGAATAAATTGGGACAATCCATGAAAATATAATTAACTTGCCAGTCAATCGCAGGGCACACAAAGAAAAATCCTCGATCTATCCACACACACACATTTACACACAAGGAAAATTTTGAGTCTTCAGTGAACGCAACGCGCATATGTTGTGTGTGGGAGAAGGTCGTAGCACCCAGAGAAATCACACGCAATCACAGAGAGAACATACAAGCCCAGATTCGAACCCCAAACCTCAGAACTGAGTTCACCCTGTTGCAGAGTCGACACCTTTTACCGACAAAAATAAGAAACTAGCTTTTCATAATGAAATAGCTGGCAGAAAAAAAAAATGAGGCCAAAGCAATCGCTGCAGTGAAACGTAACACCACAAACGGGATGTTATGAAACATTCCGGTTCCTTTGTGAATCGAAGCAAAGCGTCAATGAGGAGCCACCTGACTTGACAGGCTTCGGCGCTGCAGTACAACACCGTAGCTTCGAGGGGTTTCTAGTCAAACACTCCAGCCCTCTCCAGATCCTAAAGCACAGCCCTGCAGAGTTGCTCTCAGACACTCCAACCACTCGGCACGCTTAATCCCACCACTCACTCACTCACTCACTCACACACCAGGCTGAGCAGTAAGACAAGAAAGCGCCCAGACGAGTCAGGCCTGCCAGGAGGGAGGCGAGCAAGCTGCTGCTCAGCGTCTGGGGCTAGACATGCTGCGCACGTCTTTGTGCAAGATTTCATCCGGCACCGATCAAACATGTCTTCTCCTACTTCATTATTTCCAGACCTGCGGTAACGGAATGTTATTTTAATCATTGTACGTACCTGCTTAGAATTTAAGAGAATTAAGTCGAGTGAATGTTACCTTGGTTTCGCACAGGGCTGACAAAGTTTATGCCATCTACGTTCCTCCAGTCCCAGTGCTGTGGTAGAGCTGCTGCCGACTTGGCCGCTTGAGTTGACACGGGTGTAGGGCGGACGTGGCTGAAGCACGGCAAAAAAAAAATTATAAAAAAGACAGGGTGTCACAACAGTCACTCGGATACACTTCCTTTTTTTCCCCATTTCTTCTCAGGTCTCATTTGGACAGACGCAAGGATATCAGCGTTTGACAGCTGATGCTGTTTAGCATATCATTCCCTTGCCCATGTCTCACCAAAAGCAATTAGTTGCTACAATCGTCAGAGAAATCCCGAAATAAAGCAACACATTTTCAAAATCGCCAACACTGAAGACGTGTCGTTGCTCTTTTTCGCTTGCACTGCCGACACACGTGCACATCGACTCGACTCAAAAAAAAGCAGCGTATAGTTTACGTTTTATGTTGACTTCATAAAGGCTGCGAGGGCCGCTGAGATACTGCGAACGAGTCAGATGTGGCCCGTAAGCTGTACCATGCCTAGATGTGCTCTAAATTCATGAGGTCGGTGGGTCAGGGGAAAAAAAATGAGCGGCAAACAACCTCTGGTACTTTTTTGATAATACCTCAGCAAAATTGTTATGTGCAACGCTGTTAATAGTCTCCCGATACAACACAAGGGCATGTTGATTTTTTTTTTTTTTTTAATCTTTTTAATTTGCTTTAAATCGCATTTTGGAAAAGTCCTCGTCAAATACTGCATCGTCAGTGCTGGTTGTTTTCAACTGTGTGTGATAAGATTGTAAAAACAAAAAAAAAACTCACAGTGGAATATGGGAGGCGGGTCCTCCTGCCCTGTAGTGCAGGTCCTGCAGCGTGTACGTCTTGTATTCCGGGTAGGACACAGCCTTCCAAGAGTTCTGGGCTGAGTTAATGGACTCAATGACACCCTGGTTTGGTGTAAAAGGCCTGTTGAGGAGCCTAAGGTGACGAGACAAATGTCAGGGCCTGCACTGCTGCAAGCGCTCGGCTCTCATGAAACGAAGCAGCAATGCAAAAGTCATACAGTCATCTGAGGCCCGATTGTGTCATTTGATCATATCTTAAGTTCAAAGCACAGTTTTGACATTGCAACTCTACCAAAAATCCTCTTCAAAGTAAAACTCGCCAATGGCCCATGAGACAAAAAGATCCATATTCTTTACTCGAGAACGCGCATGAATGCACAAGTGACAAAAGGGAAAAGTGCTTCTGATTTATTGTACAACAATAAACAGCACGACACAGTTAACGGTGAAGCATGGGGGAGATGATTTTACAAAATCTTTACGGCTCTGCTGCACACTCGCCGAAGGAAATTTGACATTAATCATGCACCGGGCTAAATGGAAGACTTCAAATGCAGTTGAACAATGAACGTAAACATTTATTGACATTTGGGAAGGTAAAAGGCGCCCTCTGATTTTACTTACCGGTATGTTTTATAGTACAGGCAACATTTGTATTTTTTTTTTTTTAATGCGGAATAGGGAAAAAGTTCTGAACTCATTCACTCCCAAAGACGTTTTTAAACGTCTTTTCAGACTTGGTCCAGAATTGGCTGGTACTGAATGAATTAAAAGGAACACAGAGTGCATGACGGACTAAAAAAACTAGGCGGCCGCTGTGTATAAAATGACGCTGTAAACGAACACGATTTTTTTTCCACTTCCAAGAAATGATGATATATTTCTATCACTGTGTTTTAATAGTAGAGGCCAGCGGTTGTTCTTTGAGACCTGTTTTGTCATCATGGTTGGGGTTCCCTTCAAAGTGATAACGGGTCAAAGGATTGAAAAAAACCCATAAGAAAAATTATTGATGCGTCTAATGCTGCCGTGACATGTCAACAGTCACTTGGGGCCGCAGGCGTGGTGAGAAAAAGAGAACAAGCCAATGATTATCGTCTGCAGTTACTGATAATGATCTTGGGGATTAAGATTTCCAGATTGCCGCTTGTGGTGAAAGTGGCACTGTCAGTAAAAATAATGCGGAATAGGGAAAAAGTTCTTAACTCATTCACTCCCAAAGACGTTTTTAAACGTCTTTTCAGACTTGGTCCAGAATTGGCTGGTACTGAATGAATTAAAAGGAACACAGAGTGCATGACGGACTAAAAAAACTAGGCGGCCGCTGTGTATAAAATGACGCTGTAAACGAACACGATTTTTTTTCCACTTCCAAGAAATGATGATATATTTCTATCACTGTGTTTTAATAGTAGAGGCCAGCGGTTGTTCTTTGAGACCTGTTTTGTCATCATGGTTGGGGTTCCCTTCAAAGTGATAACGGGTCAAAGGATTGAAAAAAACCCATAAGAAAAATTATTGATGTGTCTAATGCTGCCGTGACATGTCAACAGTCACTTGGGGACGCAGGCGTGGTGAGAAAAAGAGAACAAGCCAATGATTATCGTCTGCAGTTACTGATAATGATCTTGGGGATTAAGATTTCCAGATTGCCGCTTGTGGTGAAAGTGGCACTGTCAGTAAAAAAGTGGTTGCAAAGGTGAACTACATTAAATGTGGATTAATGTTCTTATCAATTAGAGTGAATGTGTTCGTGTGATTCACTGATTAGATATGAATCCTCAAAAAAGGACTTTAAGGACTTTACCTAGCTGAGGAAATAGGAGAATAGGTTATAATGTTGGAGTAGGTCAATATAGGTTTCATTGCGTGTCATTTGTGGTTTTGTATAAATAACATTTACCTGGAGCTCAAGACTGGTTTATGGTGAACCTGTGGTGGGATTGGGTTCACTTTCTTGCCAACAAAACACCCCCAGTTGTTTCCCAAGACATCGTGCACCCATCCTGGCAGGGTATGGTCACAATAGCTGGTCACCTTCTGGCCCTCTTCAGTGTACTTAAAAAAAAAAGAGAAGAAAACATTCAAAAATGGTGCACATAGAGTGACGTTTAAGTCATTTCATCGCGACAGATTTGGGGAAAGGATGTACTTTTGGTTCAGGATTTATGAGAACCAACCACCAGGGGGGAGCAATAGCAGACTGTCATGATTCCGTTCTGTTTATTCCCTAGTCTCAGTGGCAGTGGTGTTCCGGTGCGCCCGTTCCTCGATCGAACACGTACTATATACGTGGACATCCTGGACAACTGACAGTCGGATAATTCGTCTTGCTCAAGCCATTGTTCATGTGCAATTTATTGTTGATGTTCTCGATATTGCTCCGCATTCACGTTCTCCGTTCTTGGTTCTCTGTTTTTCGTAAGTAGTTTGCCTGTGTTTATTATTACTCTCAGTTTTGGTATTTTCGATTGGGTCATCTTGTCCTTCTGGTGACAAAGTATTTTCGTTTGGTTTCTTTCGTATTCTCCTGGTGTGTCTACCAGTCATTATTTGTTCTTTTGTCATAAAATGTAGCTATCCTGTAAATAATTATTTTTTTATACACCTTTATCTAAGTTTATGTTTGTCGAGTCCGATTCTGTTCCTGAACGTTCTGGAACCATAACACAGACTAGGAGGAAGTGAAACAATCTTTTTTTTTTTTTAAGTCAAAGGAGACACAATGTTTCCTCTATGAATGTGTCATGTGTCATGTGGAGGAAGGAAAAACAATAATCTGTGGTCCGGTTGCTGAATGAGGATGATGAACATTTGTAAAAAATAATAATAATAATTGAAATATTAGGCTGAATTTACAGTTCAAGTGTCACAAGTGCAAATTTTGCTCTCAAGTATCTCAATTCACATGTGTGTCTACGATACAGCATAAAAATAAGCATAAATGTTGAAAAATGACATCAGATATACATGGATCGACATCAGGCCTCTTGAAAATGCAGGGTAAACAGCCAGATTGGCTCTACCCCATCAATGTGACCGACAACACCATAACAAAACATCCCATTAGGATGACACAATGTATTTTTGTTTACCTTAAAGTATGCAAACCATTTATAGCCGTTGATGACTACTTCAAAGCCCTGGTTGTAGATTAGGGTGAAGTAGCCACTGTTTCCCAGCTTGTCTATGGCCACAGACAGCTTCTCAAGGGTCACCATCACTGTGCTCTCACCTGTTGCTGAAAAAGACAAGGAGAAGTGTCTACTGGCTAGCCGAAAACATCACCCTTGTCTTTAGACAACTGCTGTTTGGGCATTCGTTCTATCCATCTATTTTCTATAGCATGGGGTACACCCTGGACTGTACTGTGTAGTGTCTTTTATATCTATCTATCTCTCTATCTCTCTATCTATCTATGTATCTATCTATCTATCTATCCATTTTCTGAGCCGCTTTATCCTCACAAGGGTCACGGGCGTGCTGGAGTCTCTCCCAGCCATCTTCAGGGGACACCCTGAACTTGTTGCCAGCCAATCGCAGGGCACACAGAGACAAACAGTCATCCACGCTCACACTCACACCTCGGGACAATTTAGACTAGAGTGTTCAGTCAGCCTGCCATGCATGTTTTTGGAATGTGGGAGGAAACCGGAGTACCCGGAGAAAACCCACGCAGGCACGGGGAGAACATTCAAACTCCACACCCGCTACCTCTGCTCTGTGAGGTCGATGCGCTAAACACTGGACCACCGGAATATATCTCGACAGTTGTAACTCTCCCACTGTTGTACTGCCAATACTTTGGCCATAATTGTGAGAACGTATGTTGCCTACTTTCAGCGGAACAGTTGAGGGTCTTGTCGTGGCCCCCGCTGGACACCTGGAACACCCACGTCCCCAGTAGGTCCTCGTAGCTGCAGTTGGCCGGGGTGTCCCCCCAACAAACCCCAGTACATATCACGAATACATACGCCAGGACACCACTCAACCTCATCTTGACAAACATGCAAAGTTGGGCAATTTCCCGTCTTCTTCCTGCTCCACTTCACTTTGCAGCACTGCCTGAATTTAGTAAGGCACAACTTTTTCCACAAAAACAAAGACGACCTCAATCGTCAAGATGCTATTCACTTTACGTACACGGAAGTAGCTAGCACCGAGCTATTTTAGACACCTAATGTTCCATGGAACGAAAGTTTATGCTTTTATTGTCGACTAACGAAGATTTGTAAGTGGGTCTGTCGGGTGTTCTTCATTGTTGCTTAATTTTAGCTCCACTAGTTACGAATTGCAACAGCCACAGCTAACGCGAGTAAGGAAGTAACTATCTTGCTTCAAAAATGTTCTTTGTGATGGCACTTAGTTTCGTTTTCGCCCTCACGTGACCATAACTTCTGCGCAGGCGTACAAATGAAATCACGTTCCAAAAACGTGCACGTTCGGTTAATTAACCCTTTCATGCACTCTGTAACGTGTAACCTGATGACATGATCTGTCTGATGTGGCCTGGGTCATACTTTGCCCTCCCATGAGTCTTCAATTGGCCAAACATCTATGTTTTTGGAATGCATCATTGATTGCAGAGAAAATGTATTTCTGAAACAACGATTGCCTCCATTCAATAATCGGTTGATGTGCTCATCCTGCTTGAGTTCTACTTGACAAGGTGACGCTCACAGCAAAGAGGGTGTTAGTGTTTGTTTGTACTACTGTACAGTCAGTCCACCCAAATCTGTGAGCAATGCAATGGTGAACAGCAAGCACTTTCATTTCATGAACACGTGGGAGCAGCCACTTCACCCTTGTGTTACGTCCTCATTTAGATGAAGTGCTTTCACAATCACTTACGTCCGACCAGACCCATACACCTACGCACATCAGAATACTGTTCATACTATAGGGAAGGCCATATTTCTTTGTGCAAAGCACTCTGCAAAGGTTGCCTCTCACTGTTTATGACGCTGCCATGACACACTTTCTCCACACAAATGCAGGTATATGAACGTGTGAACGTGTGAGTCACTGTGAATCCACACATTTACATCATTAATATACTATACTGTGTTTGAACACATCTTAAGCACTTGTGGATGAAGAGAAACTGCGCTTGGAGAGACAATGAAAACACATATTAGAGCTTGATTAAAAACTGCAACAGTATCAAATCAATAAACACTGCCTATAGAAACGTGTGTGTGTGTGTGTGTGTATGTGTGTACGCGCACACACATCACTGAAGACTAATGAATTAGGTATTGACTCAGTTCTACCTAAACCCATCAGTGAGTGAGTGTAGCTGATGTGCATGTTTGTTGTTATTTCCTGAAGAATTTACCTGAATTTTCATATTTTTAAAAAACTGTCAGGAACATTAACATGTGTCCCGCTCATTGTCCAATGTGTGTTTATTGTCCAGCAGTGAGTTTGCACGTTACGTCTCATTGGACCCAGCACAAAGGTCTTTTCACCTCATACGTGTTTTTCCAAGCTAGACTAGTCAGTTGCCACCTGTCAAGCCACACGTGTAAAATTAACAAAGCCTCCTTTAATTTGGGTTGGAGGAATATTTTGGACAGCCAAAGTGCTTTGATTCTAAATGTCAGGTTTGTTGTGAGCTGTGCAGAAGTGCAGAATGACTCAACGACGGCACAACGCGAAGACACTTTATTCTCTGAGAAAACCATTTCATGTCTGTTGTATTATAGAACAATCTAAAGCAAGTTAGCCTCTAAAAATGTCAAATATGCTTGAAGCACACACCCTACGCACTCAGACCAGTACGAATCAATTCCCTGCTTCTACAAAGCACTTAGAAATGTACTGTCATTTTCATAACGCTATGACCGTATCGTCTCAACAGTTCACACTTTACAAATCCAAGGAGATATATGAAATAGATAACTAAATACAGTATTGAAATACAAATCCATCTTGCAGTTTCACAGACATATAGCATACATTCTACATTTCTGTCATCAGAAAAAAAAATAAAAATAAATAAAAATGGCAAAGCTTCAAAAACATTGCTAAAAATGAATCCTCGGAATATCAAATGGCCAACGGTGAACAAACAATACGTGATTTCTTTCAATAAACAATAGATTGAAATTTGTTTTTGTACATGTACGTCAAGTTAATCTCTAAATAATAAAGTCCATGATTTTTCACAGAAGTTGGTTCGTAGATCTGGCTCCAATTCACAATTTCACAAAAAGAAACAGCACTTGAAATGGGGCGGGGGCGTCGGGGTGTTGCTCAAAGTTGGCACCATGTGGGTAACTTTATCTTAAAAACACATCGATAAAACAGAACACCAGTTTGAGGATACGCACTTGACACTTTGACGATGTGCTTTCTGAACATCAAATAGCAGAGAGCAGTTATTATTACCATTTGTTTCAATAACAGTCATTTGGTCCAGTGATGAGTACATGCAATCACTTTCTGCGCAATTAAGCAATCGGTATGACTTTTATTTATTTCTTCAGGTAACCAACCATTATTCCACTGAATCAAAACTAAGCCCAAACTCACTGCTTGGTATGTTGCAAAAATGGAAACATAACAAAGTCACATTATTGAAATGGAAATGTGCTTTGCTGCTCCCTCCACATTCCCACGTTAGCGTTGCAGAGAAAGAGAAATACGCAAGACATTTATGCTGAAGAGAATGGAAATGAATGCCTTGACTACCTGTGATGAAGAAGATCCGCTCCAGTGAGCAGCAACGTGCAAACGTCGCTTTCTGAAGGCAACATTCATATTCTTATTGGTAGTTCTACTGTCAAACAACAAGAATCTCATCACAACTGAAAGCGCACAAATGATTGGAGGTTATGCTAAGCAATAACTACTTAGCGTCTATTTGATGACATTATTTCCCATTAGCTGTGATTTCACATCTTCCATTGCTTGTTATACCTTAAAGAGAGACATTCAATTGCAAAGTGCAGCGGCACCTCTGGTTAGAAACACGTTTACGAACAGATCCTTTCAAGCATCAAATTTTCAGAGATAAACGACCTCAGTTAATGCATCATTTAAAATTTGTAAAACGTTTTGGTATTGATGAGTCGTGGTTTTGAACAGCAATGACTCCATGCATCACACACTGCATGTATTCTTTATTAGCTTGAAATTAGCCCGTGGTATAGCTCCGAAAAAAGCAAAGGCTGCGACCAACATTGTTGTTAGGGAGCTTAATTGTATTATTGTTGAAAAAATAGGGAAATATGGCGATATTTTAACAGGAAGATGATGTTTGTGTTTGTGATCTTGCGCCACAGTTTAGTTTGGCGAATTGCACGAACCTGTACCAGCTTGTGTGGCGCATCTCTCAACGCCCAAAGATGCATGATGCACAAACCCCAATTCCAATGAAGTTGGGACGTTGCATGAAACAAAAATAATAACAGAGTACCATCATTTCTTCACAAGCGCAAACAATTTCAAGATTTCAACATCTGAGGTCCATGCCATCAAAAGATTCAGACAATCTGGTTAACTCTCCGCACGTAAGCGCCAAGTCCAAAAACCAACAGTGAATACCCCTGACCTTCAATCTCTCAGGCGGCACTGCATTAAAAACCGGCACCCATGTGTCACGAGGGCTCGGGAACACATCAGAAAGCCATTGCCAGTGAACACAGTTTGTTGCTCATGCGAGTTGAAGAATTTGTTGTGGAAGAGACTGTTCCAAAAAGTCTGGTTGAAAGACAACATTAATGTTCTAACGGATAAACCAATATTGCACTATTAACGTGTTGCAAAAAATCTGGGCCAAGGGCAATAAAAGACAGGGAAGGTTAAGCAAATCTCTGGTATTTCTTTCCAATAAAATTGTTTCACTTATTTCTATATTTGACCGGATTTATTTTCGTCACACACCCTTAAAACTACGGTGACTATAACTTAATGCATTAACGCACTTCCATTCATTTACCGTCGATATGCAAATGTTTCAGGTTGCCAAGAAGGTCAGAGAAGGAATCAAAATCACAAGGTTCCATTGTATAAAAGAAAAATTCACTCAGGAGATCTGCCTGCTCCGTATATTAAAACGATGACCTGCACTTCACCTCTCGCAACTCCATAAGGTATATGAGACGATAATAAGAACAAATATAAGCTGCATCTGAAAAATGCAATAAAAGAGATCTTCAGTCAGTTGAAATGCAAAGTAATTTTTCAGCAGCCGTACCCGTATCCTGTACACAAAACGTTAGGCATGTTTAAGACAAGCAAGCTTCACCACCTCTGCCCTGGATTGCACTCGGCCACTGTCTTGTACGCAGCCTCTACGGACTTAATATTCAGCACTGGCAGGTCTTTCTGTGTTCAGTCTTTTCCCTGCACTTCCAATTAAATGCCTCTCTGCCTCTGTCTGCACACAAAAATCCTTGGATCAGTCACGGGGAAATACTGCTTGAACATAAATACACGGGAAGCAATTCTTTGGGTCAATTTCTGCATTCCAGCAAACTGAAACATCAAGCTGGAAAAATACATCGTAAGGAAAAGTAATTCAGCGTCGAATCGGGATGGAGCCCAACTTGACTGAGGTGTGGTTATTTGATGTCATACAACAGAAAGACTAAAATATACTTCATGAACTACGGTATGTTTGTCAAACAACATACCTCCATTTGACAATAGAGCTGTGTCGAAACCGATTTGGCTGTTTTGTTTTTCGCCCCCTTGGACCAACTCAAAAAGTCGTCTTCTTTCAAAACACAAGTGGCAGTTACTCCACTGTCATCATTAGCCCCATCTGGGCAGTTTTATGATTCTGTTCTATGGGTGTACTGTATTGATTGAGCTATAATATGCCATGTGCTGTACATTTTGTCCCTCTCCCATGTTCCACGTGGCCTATTATAAAAGTGGAGGAACTATCATTATAATTACAATTAGATTACAACCTGCATTGTTTGCTTTTTAAACAGTGTTGTAGATAAAACCAGATCACGCTCCTGATCACCATCAACGATTGGTCTAAAAGCAAACAGTTTAAGATTACATAACCTGGGGATTGTTTTCCCGTGATCAGCAGATGAGTGCTTTTGGATTAAAAGTACGTATAAGGATTATCAATTCAATTCTTTGGAGTGCAGTTACAAAGCTAAGTCGTGCTACAGGTTTTTGGCGACACATCATCAGCGCATCATATGTTGAGATGGCGGTTTTCAATCAAAGGAAATTTGATTTGCTTCCAAAATGATTATCCTTTCATGAATTGTTATTTTCTTTCTGTTCAGTCATGTCATTTTTCCAATATAGCTGATGTCACAGCACAGAGTCCCTGTAGGAAATGAGATGTGTGCATTGATCCTGACACAGTTCCACCCGGGGGGGAGAGAGAACAAGCATGCACTCATTTCAGCCCTCTCGCCTAGCACATAATGAGCACACTCAGTGTCAGTAACGTGTAAACCCGCTCCTCCCAAATAATCGCCACATCAAGCACAGGCTAATTGTTGGGTCATGGTCTGTCTCGGCATAGAGAAGACGTACCGCAATTTATAATAATGATGATGATGATGATGATCACAGACTGAAATGAATGGTCCTGGTTTTTCTTTGATTCACTTTCAAATTATCTCCATAAACCAACAACAATATTTATAGTCTAAATAAATGTCGTTTTTACTCAAAGTACAATTCCAGCAATTCTGTCTCGAACCAATGCCATCCAAGCAGACACAACAAAATGTCTTTCTCACTCACACAGGTATTAGAGAATATGAGATTAGGAATACACAACTGGTTGTTTCACCTTGAGCAGTTTTCCAAAAAGAAAAGGGCACGCGTGCTCCTTGGCAAACTACCCCCAGAGAATGCAGAACTAAGTACTGTACTGTGTTTCTTAAAAGTGATTAGAAACCCCATTTAGATCTACGGGGACAATTGCTTTTACAATGAAAAGAACAGAACGATCAAATTTAACATCTCAAAATACAACAGGAAGACAAACCTCACTTTTTTTGTTTTGTTTTTATGAAACCACGGTATTTATTAACAAAGCGTGTAAGACAGCTCCGCCCAAAACCCTTTGGCACAATAATCATATTAAATAAATGAGGGAAAAGTGGTTAAGATTGCACGACTGTCCGTGTTTTTATGTTATGTGTTGAGTTTATTATTTCATGTTAACTGTTTTGTCAAGCGCTTTGTTACAGCTGCAGCTGTTGTGAAACCGCGACATAAATCAGGATTTATTGTATTTGTATTGTATTGTAAATGAAATCTAAATTGGAATGTTAACTGACACATTCAGAGTGGTAGCACAGTTTCTGGGGCAATACTGTTTCAAGACTGTTTGTCTTTTGTCGATGTTGCAAATGATCGTAAAAGTGATATTTGACACTTTCTTTCCAGGTACAGTTCGTTCATGTGTAGCATGATGATGCAAACGGGTAGGACACAAAGCTAGCCTTGCTCGTGGAAATTGCAAACAGATTCTCCCTTTTCTGTAAAACAACACACAATCAATTTAGTTGAATGCAAAGAGAAATGTGAAGATTCAAAATAGATTAAAAAAAAAAAAAAACCTCATCTGAACTCATCTCAACTAAATGTTATCATTAATTCATGATTATTAATCGCATCGGTGTCTGTATGCGGTTTTTTTTATGTAAGGTTGCCAGGCAACAAGAAAAGAATTTCTATACAGTACCGGTACTTGCCTGTGTAAACGTGGTAGCAAGCACTTCATTTAATATGTTTGAAATAATTTAGCATTGACCAAAATGTGTGACTAAAAATACTTGGATTTTATTTGTTTTGAAATGATATGTATAATTGGCCTCAAGTGCTTTCTACGAACATGCATTCGGCAGAGAGGAGGATTTATCAAAGCTCTGCGACGGACGCGAGGGAATAATTTCAAGTTTGCACCTGCGCCGCAGACTGACAGAAGCTAATGATGTGAACTTTTCCCCCAAAGAGATGGAAGTGAATCTAATGAATTCTGTCAAATATTATGAAGGAGAGTGACAGTGGTACGCCGCTGTCACATTACATAGAAATTCTCGATGAGACTGACATCAAGCGTAACGTCGCTATAAACTCATGAGTTCAGATTTGAGCCAATTACCAACAAGATTCGATGTAGTCAAACCAAAGTTTCCCTTCAAACCCTTCAAGAATCAAGTTCAACAGAGTAACAGTTTTGACGGCTAATATAAATGTCATGTAAAGATGCTTTTGTGCTAAGCAACATACCGCAGCTGCGACAATAAAGTTCTGCAACCCACAACTTGAGAAATATTTACAGGTTTACTTCTGGTGTGCGTCTCGACACACACGGACTGTGCGTGTTTGACTGCAGTGCAGCAGGTTCATTGTACAGTTTATGTGCCCTTTGGGAGCTTTTCGTTGGTCCACAAGCTTTGCCCCGTTTCTCCTTAAGACAAATAAAACGCACTCATGGAGGTATACGTACAGTACATAGACACGGACCACGAGTGCACAATCGCTAGCTCTAATTAGCTGACAGCCATGTTAGCGTAAGGCCACAATCTAAACCTAAGACATATTTTTCCAACCACGGATTTGCGTTGTGGCCAATTTCCTTTCGGATGTAAGGAACATCACGATGAAAATATGATCTCACTGCACACATGTAAACACAACGTTTTCACATCGTCGTGGGGATGAACGGATTCCAGTCGATCCGTCTGCTTTGTCCTCTCCCTCTGTGTCGTTTCTGCCTCACAGCGAAGAGGAACTCAGGCTGTAGTTTCTGAGATTTAGTCTCCTGTACCTGGGCGAAGGAGGTGACGGGGGAGGATGGGAGGGCACCGGAGGGAGACAAAGATCTAGATCAGACACAGCCGAGCTACTACTTGATGCCAGAGAGTCTCGGAAGGGCGACGGGGGAGTCAAAGCAATCAGCTCCTCCTCCAATTCCACCCTCCCCAGTGGCGAGTCCATGAGGCAGGTGACCAAGCCACCTCGCATGGGGGAAAGGGAAGGGGAGGACTGGGGATGAGGAGGTGGAAGAGGGTAAGGCGGATGTGGAAGGGGGACGGGATGAATGGGACAGCCAACCTGGCGGCCCAAGCTCGGCTCGGCGAGGGGGTGGGGCTGGACTTCGGCATAGGTGGTGACGATAGGAGGGGTGTGGATCTCACGAGGAAGAAGATAGGGGTCGGTGGGGTGTGGCGCCGGTGGCGAGTGTTTGTGCGCGTGGGGGTGCGTAGGGGAGGAGAGCAGCATCATGGTGTTGAGCTCGCTGATGTTGGCTGTGAAGCGGTTCACCACGCAGCTGATCTGATCCATCAGGTTGCTTTGGCATGCCACCGGACGACCCTCCAAGATGATCAGGCGACCGTCACACCCGGCCACGCCCGAGCCGCTGCTGACCTGGCCGTAACTGCTGCCGCTGCTCTGGCTGCAAGTGCTGCCGGGATACTTAGCGCCGCTCGGTGTCTGAGGCTCCTCCTCCAAAGCGGCGGCGAGTCTCTGGCTCACCGTACTGATTGGGGAGGGCGTTTGTGGCCGATATGTGAGGGAATACCTCTCCTCTGCTTCGGATAGGTCGTACAGATTCTTGTCGGCGCCGGTGTCACTTTGAGAGGGCAGGGAGGAAATGGAGGGGAGGGAAGGCAGGGGCATGTGTGGAGGAAGGTCGGCTCCTCCGCAGTAGCGCTCCTCGGATGTCTTGGAGAAGGGCTTGATGACCGCTGTCTGATTGTTCTCCTTCTTCTTGATGTGGAAGGACAGACGCTGCCACAAGTGGTTCCCGTGTGAACTGTTGCGCTCGGTCTGGGCCCAAGACACCGACTTACCGTTTGAGCTGCAAAACAAGATCAATTTAAGATTATAAAGTACTCTGGGGGGAGTTCAACAGGGGGAGACAGTGAAAGCAACACAGTGTGTCTAAAGCAAATATAGAGGATGTTGCAACCGGTAAAAGACTGCTCAATGAGCAAACCGAGCTCTTCAAAAAATAATCATAATCAAAGATCAGTGTCGTTTTTTTTTCTTTTTTTTTTTTTTTTTTTAGAAGGAATCTTCACTCCCTCTCATCTCTTGGCTTTCTGCCTGTACATGGTCTACCTGACTGCATCTCAAAGTCCCCATCCCAGCACAGAGGCATATCGCCATGATGATTCCCACCAACAAATGTAAAAAAAAAAGAGGACCCAAATAGATGAAGATGTACAGAGGGGACTGAAAAGAAAAAACGAGTGGGAAGCGCTCCTGACATTTCTCATCAGAGCGTGATTGAAATCTTGCCTGGCAAGCCGTCTGAGTTGATGTAAGCGGCTGACAATTGAGACTGCTCTCATTTGCGAGCCTTTTCAGTGGCTGTCCGTCATTGACTTTGTGTATTTGCTTATTGCTTTAGATGGCAGGAGGGTGGCTCGAAGACTTTTATTTTCTTGATTCTCCCTCTCTCTTCTTTCTATTCATCTCTTTCTGAATGGACTCTGATTTTGCTCCCAGATTTTTTTCACCCTTTCTTCCCTACCTCTGTCTTTGCCGTGTCCCCATTAGCCAATAGTCGACGGTCCATGGGTCAAAAGAACTATCGAGCAGGGGGGGGGGGCTTCTGTAAATCCATCTTTCAGGTGACTCAGAGACACACACGCACACACACACACACACACACAACACACACACACACACACACACACACACACACACACACACACACACACACACACACACACACACGCCTACCTGAGAGTCTCTGCAGTGGAGCCTTTGCGTTTCCACAGGTTAACCAGACTGGAGGAGCGGCTAGCAGCTGAGGATGATTTGCCATCGCCGACATGCATGCGTACCACTGTACTGGTCGTAAAGGCACTGCGCACGTTTCGCTCTGGTTTGGCCAGAATGATGTACACCTTTGATGACAAAGTAAAATATATATATTACACCCAAATTGAGATTCAAACCTCTTGATGTGGTGAAGATTTCAATTCAAAATCCAAACAAGGATTCTTCACATTGTGCCTGTTCAGGGACTGGTACGTGTAATGTATTTGTATATTGTTTAGAATTCATTGTTTGTTTGTTTGTTTTTTGTTTTTTCACATTAATTCAACAGAAGAGGAAAATTGTTTTTTACTTAAACCATGCCCACTATGAGCTAAAAATTGGTACATCCTAATATTTGTGGCGATGCAAACCTCACTGCACTTGCTCTGGAATTTGGTTGATCTCCGTGCACCATGCTGGGCGTTCCCAGCTTTCTGAGAGTGTTTCCTTTGACACGCGCCCGGCGCACCTGACAATGTGTTGCCTGAAAATAGACTAAACTTTACACCTGCTGCATCTCTGTCTCAGTATTGGTGCAGGTAGTTCAACACAATTTTGACTAGTTTAATCGAGGTGCGGGCAGACAGATTCAGAGCTCCGTGGACATGTGGATGTTAACACGACATAAATGTTATCCAGTTGTCATTGTCAAGTCTCATGCACAGGAGGTATTTTGAGAGCACTAATCAAAGGTTGAATTATTCACAAAGTAATCAAGTTCATAATTTGATTGTATGAGTGTGTGATCACATATAATCACCACACCAACAGGTTAATACGCTGCTGTATTTTACAAAAAGGTGCCATGAAAAATTTATATAAACTTGCTGTATACAGTACATCTAAATCACCACACCATGCCATAGTCACTATAATACAAACTTGAATTAGTTTCTGGAGCATCATCAGAGCGAAGGGACATTTCGACTTTTTATTACTACGATACTATCCAAAAATTACTGTTGGTCCTCACCAATGTCGCCAACCAATCTTTTTTTCTTTTTTTTTTTTTGGCCTTTATTTAACCACGTCGATCAAGGTCAAGTGCAGCAAATGTGTCAGAAGTTACTCGGAAACTTACCTTTGGTACAAACATGCAGCAAAGGGCCACTGTGGCGCTGAGGCTGACACTGAAGCACATGGTGATTATTTTGTAATTGGAGCCAAAGTAGATGGGAACAAAGGCCAGCCATATAATGCAGGTGGTGTACATGGTGAAGGCAATGTACTTGGCCTCGTTGAAATTAGCAGGAACGTTGCGGGTCTTGACGAGAGACACAAGCAAACAAATAAGAACAAACAGCAATAGAAATTGTTATTACCCGGTTGATTTTGCCTTATTTGAGCCACATTTATTGCGTCAAGATAATCATTATACACCAGGTATAATAGCGATCAAGCACAGCCCAGGGCACCGAATTGTTTGGTGGACTTTGTTGTACTTTCTACTGTTTATTTTGTTCTTCTGCTTTCAACGTCTGGAGAAAATGGATGGCTAGAGGCCACAAATCAAATATCGAGTTTAATTTTCATGTGGAAAAAAGAAATCACACTTCCCTTGATTGGTCGTGGTTAAACACCCAACGGCATTCTTTTTATCGGGCTATGTGAGTTTTCCAATACGAAACATAATTGTTCAAACGCGTCATACCTTAAATCAGATTTTTTTTGGTCATAAGTTAGATGTGTGAAATGTTTACGATTGCACTAAATTGTATTTCATCCTAAATTATAGGAAGGCAGCCAAGTCATTCAAAATGTTATTCAACTGCTACAATGTGGAGGAGAAAGGAGGACCAGGTCTTACTTTGAAGGCATAGAAGGTGCAGCTGAGAATGAGCAGGCCATTGTATCCCAGAGGAGCAACCACACCCAAGTTAGTGGTGTTGCATATGAGGTTGACTTGACGGATGCTAGGGTAGTCATGGATCACCTGTGTGGACGGATGAAACCAGGAAGCTTTTTTGATGTTACACATGGGAAGGCTTTTTTTCCAAGCTTTCATGAAAACTCATTCACTCCCAAAGACGTTTTTAAACGTCTTTTCAGACTTGGTCCAGAATTGGCTGGTACTGAATGAGTTAAAACTACTTTTGATGCGGGAAGAGGGACTACAGAACATGTCAGAACAACAATCCCGTCATCCAAAACAAAACAAAATAAAAATCATTTTGTTATGCTGTCTACTGAAGACACAAAATATGCAGAGATGAACATTTTAGATTTCATTTCCAGGTATTTACATCCGGATGTGATACACAATAACATTTGCTTGAACCAGCCAAGCAAAAGCATTGGAATATCTGACTATTACACCAATTATTCCCAATACCGATGGCATTTGTGTGGAGACTGCCGTGTGTGGTAATGCATGTGTCAAGACTTCAGCCATCTATTGACAAGAAGAGGGGGGAAAAAAAAAAAACACGGGAAGGAAACACACTGACCTGGGGTGGCTCCATGAGGAAGAGCGCTACAATGATGCCGAGCTGTAACAGTATGAGCAGGAAGGCAATGATGAGCTGGGCGCAGGCGGACATGAATCGAGGCTTCTTTGTACAAATCTTCTTCTTGCTGCCTGCCAGGATCCGTGCAATGCGGTTGGTCTAGAAGCAGCATGCAAAGATTATCAACTCCTTTTTAAGATTATGCCCACTCCGTTATCACTATTTTGGCGGCATTGTATGTATTCCTGCCCAGCTACATGATCTCTCTGTGCCATTCACATCCTTTTGTATTGTTCTCGCCAGCATCTGAATCCGACACAATTTGTACCTAGGTCCCGTAGACCAAATCGCAACCAAGGCGAGAAAGCGCAGTCCAAGGGGTGTGGACTGAATAGCGCAGCGCTTCTCGAATCCTCACCTTGGTAACCAAAGCAGAGTAGCTCATGGCGGGTGACAGGCCAATTCCCAGGCGTTGCAGGTAGCAATGGATGACATGTGGTTTGGCGATGAGGCTAAAGGTACACAGGTACCCCAGGCAGATACCTGCCAGAATTATATAGCAGAGCTCCCTGCTGGAGGATTTCACCACAGGAGTGTCCCTGAACCTAAACAGAATATAACAAAGGCAATTCCACAAATTAGAATGCTTTGCCATGCACACGTAACGTACAGCTATTCAGAAGGTGATGGATGTTGGTGGAGAACATTTTCTATAGATTTTATTGGTAAGTTTTCTTTCATTTTACCACAAATTAGAGTTACATCTTTAATAGAATGTGAACTGAGTACTGGACATTTTATCAGAGATATGCGTTACCTAATGAAGACGGCGGTGACAAAGAATGTCGCCATGAGCCCAAGGCAGGCAAAGACCACAGCAGCGATGGGTTCGGGGTCCCCCCATCGTAAGTACTCCACCGGAATTGGATCACATCCTGGTTAAAAATGGAAACATATTTGTTTAGCATCGATTCATAAGGAAGTTTAATAGGCAAAGTTTAAGAGATGTGTGGAATTCTAAGGAATTCAAAAAGAAGGGTTTGGAGGGATACATCAATACCGCATAAGATTTAAAACTTCAAATGCAGACAAACTGTGGAACTTTACTGACCAGAGAAGCACCTCAAAGCCCAAAACTAATCCTCTCTTTCTGCTTATTTCACTCTCCCTGCCCACCGCTTCTGTTAGTCTCCACTGATCTCCTTCTCTCCCGTTCTCTGCTCCAATTTGAATTTGAAGTCACTTTTCTCAACTGTATTTTCTTGTTTTGTTCTTGATTCTAGCCAACTATCTCTTATTTGGTTTGGATGCTTTTCACAGCCACGACAGAGCGGCACCTGCCTGTCATAAACTCTCTGAATTGGCTTTACATCTTAGCCTTTCCTGCTCTTCATTTCCTCAAATTCTTGTGTGTGTAAGACAGTCTCGCTTTTCACAATAAAACATGATGGTTGAACGTTGCACTTTTTTTTTTTTTTTTTTACTGTTTTGGTCAATCTCCTCCACTTGCAACATTCCTGTTTTGAAGAGAACGCCAGGAGGGTGTGCGGAGAAAGAAAAAAAAATGGATTTACTTCATTTGAACATAAACATCAGTTGCACATGATTGCAGTGTTGAAGTGACATGTTTTTTTTTGATTATTTACCAGTTCCAAAAATTTTTTAGGAGTTTCTCCAAAAACACAGTGGAGCAGCAACTCCTCTGAGCTTGGCAGTTGACGCCAAGTTTTAGCTTTGCACGAGGCGCAGGTGTGCTGTTGTGGCTCTGCCAGTTTTCCTAAACTGAGTGGGCGCGTACCAATTACGGCGAGACCAGGTACTTGAATAATAAGTGAAGAATGGATTTCACAATGATGCCGAATTCAAATCCGCTTCTTTTGCAGGCCTTTGCCTTTCATAGGCAAGTTTGCGTGCAAACGACAAACTATGTACAGGAAATGTCCAACTTAAAGCATGTCAGAGACTGATTTCGACCTATGTTATGCAAAAAAAAAAAAAAAAAAAAAAGCAGTGGGGACATTTTTTATTTTGATGGCATGGAACCTTTAAGATCCACACTTATCTTTTGTAATGTAGCTAAATGAGGTAACCTACATATAAATGATATAGAGTACAGTTCCACCTTGGGCACAATGATGTGGCCAGTGAATACATAGTGCGGCACAATGGAGGAGCACAAAACCCCTAATGACACCATCCTTTGTGTTTATCATTCATTTTGTGTAATAGGCCTGCTCCACTAAGTGAGGAGGCTTCTGTCTCTGCCATTGAGGCTCAATTTGAATTTTCAGCAGGATTCTATTCATGTTTTAATCATTGCACGGCAAGCAGCATAATGAGCCGCTGAAAGAATAACAAGGCAATATTCATTCGCTTCGAAAGCGGTGGAGTAGAAATACATTTTCACGGCAGCAGAAATATGTTTGCATTGAGAGGTGCTCTTAATGGAGAATAATTAAAACACCGGTGATCACGCTGGAAGCAAAATAAAAGGAGCCGGGCAGCAGTGGAGGGTGGCGAGTATAGAATAATGTGAAATAAAATGTTGATGGAATTCAAGGGAATACAGTTTATCTGTTATATCTGCAGGGGTGGCATGGTAGTAGAGCGGTTACCACGGCCGCCTCACAGCGCACAGGTGCAGGGTTCGATTCGGGGCGCTGGCCTTCCTGTGTGGACTTTGCCTTTGATCTCCCGCGCCTGCGTGAGTTTTTTGGAGGCACTCCAATTTCCTCCCACATTCCAAAAACATGCATGGTAGGTTCATTGAGCACTCTAAATTGTCCCTTGATGTGATTGTGAACTGTGAACTGTTGTTCGTCTCTGTGTGCCCTGCGATTGGCTGGCAACCAGTTCAGGGCGTCCACCGCCTACTGCACCGAAGACAGCTGGGATAGGCTCCAGCACCCCCTCGTAAACCTCGTGAGGATATCAATAATAATAAAATACATCTTTATTTATAGGCACCTTTCAGGGCACTCAAGGTCACAATACAACATCATTAAAAATAAGCAGCTCGGATAATGGGTGGATGGATGTTACATCTGCAACATTATGAAATACAAAATAGAGTTAAACACAGAGACTAACCTGTGAGGTCATGAGTGGGCCAGGAGCCCAGGTCACATGCTCGGCAGGTATACTCATCAAACACAAATTCATTTTCTTTACAGGGAGTACACGTCCAACAGCAGCTCACCTCACCTTTACGGATCACCTTGAAAAGAAGCAAAGTACAGTGCTGTTGCTCTGTCACTACTGTTTATGTCAACTTACAGGCCAGTAAAATTTCAACCAGCTATACATATACAGTGTGCAGTAAAAAAACAATTGCAGTCAGGTCTAACTTATTTTTTCGTGTATTCAAATGGCTCAAGCCATGAACCGGCATCTCACTCAGCAAGAAAGACTTTGTCCCTTTTAACCAAGCTCAGCCTCGACCGACTACTGATCAGTCACCTTACCTTAATTTGCCCTTTGTCGCAGGGTTCACTGCAAACTGACTTGATGACAACATCTTTGCTTGACCATATTTCATCATCATCTATTTTCAATCCGCGGTTGTCCCAACTGCCCACGTTAATGTAATCGTAGTAGTCCTTTCCCATCTTCTTGAAATTCATGATTTCATACCTGGAGACAAGAGCATGTCAGGTGCATTGTCATCGACAAACTCACGTGGTATCACAAAATGCTCCGCTCTCTGTTTTCCCGAGCAAATGAACAGGCACCAAAGTTCATGACCTTTCACTTGAATAATACCTGCCAGGCGAGTCTCCATTCTCATCAAAGAGGATTCCCTCCCCAGATACTCCAGTAAAGTTAGTTTTCATGAGGAAGTCCAACAGCGTAGCACCATCAATAGGCCTCATGGCGTCACACAGGCCCTTCAAATGCAACATTAATGTGTCTGATTTATGACCTGACTTGCAGATAGAAAGTTGTAATTTTACGAAAGATAAAAAATTTACCATCCCTGCAAACAGAATATATTTGGCATAAAAGAGCAAAAAAAATGCTAACATTTTTTTTTTGTAATTTATTTTTTAATTTATTAATTTTTTTTTTTTTTTTTTTTTTTTTGCTCTGGACTAAAAAGGAGGACGTCAAGAGCAGAAGTGAGAAAATAAAAAACATTACCAACTTTTTTTTTTTGGCAGAGGCTTCGTTGAACCCCTGAGACCGATTCACCGAACCCGTAGGGTTCCATCAAACTCAGGTTCAGAACCACTGGTTTAAAAGAATGGGGATTTTATGATTTTTTTTTTCCAGTTTATTTTTTGTATTCAGAACAAAACTTGCAACACTTTGAGTGCAAGTATTTGCAACGCGTTCTTTTAACAATAACACAGATAACCATCATTTTGGCCACGATAATTCAAATCTAAAAATTGCATACGGTTTCATCTTTACATGCATACATCCACACCTGTCTTACTGTAACTACTCATCATCCATCAGCAGAACAGCACCTACCTGATAGCCTGGGCACAGTGCCCGTTGCATGTTATGCAGGCCATATGCCATCGAATAAATGGCGTTGATGACGAACCCCATTTTAGTGTCCTGTGCATACTGCTGCCGGAGAGATTCTCGCTCTGCACATTAGGGAGGGGGGAGGGGGGAATGGCGTTTGAAGAATAATTTAATGAGGAAGGAAGCTATATGACAATAACTCCTGATTTAATATTGCCCTCGGTATTTTGTATGAATCTCAACAAGGCTTTCTTCATCAAAGGCCACTCGACAGCCTCTCGATCCTTCTCAGGAGCCACTTCTTCTCGGCCTCTCTCATTTCTTTCTGCCTCCTGTTCATTTGGATTTCACATCCCATTTCATTCAAATAGAGGAGACGTGATCCCTTTGAAGTTGTGCTCTCACAGTATTTCTCACCCACCAATTCAACCAATGAAACAGAGAGGAATAGGGAGAGCGGGGGGGGTGGGGGGGGGAGCCCAGAGAAATAAAGGGGACTGCTGCCAGAGGCACAAAATCTATCCGTGCTAAAGCGTAGAGCTGTGTGTAACTTAAAGGCATGGATAATAATGTGAATGTGAGCAGCCTATCTGTTTGTGTGCTTTGCGACCAGTTCTTGCAAAAAGCCACTCAATGAACAACCTATTCTTGATATGGCAAGATCAAAACAACATGATCAGTTTTTCATTGATGTAACACCCAGGTCTAGTCATAAACACACATGCATGATGTTTGTTCACTGTTTGGTCATCTCATGATAACCACTTGTGCAAACTAATAAGATCCAAAATGACCTCAAAGGATTTCTGCCTTAATTCTGGCAGTTTTACTTGACGCTTGAACAATTTCTTGACTATTGTGAGTGTGGCATACAGTAACTACAATGCTGAACCCTCCAATTATTGTATGATGCTCTGATTACAAATTAATAAAGAGACTGAGAAGTATTAGCATGCGGCTGGCTATGTTCATTACGGCTTTGCTTAAATAACAAATGGTCGTGAGCAAAGGTGTGTGCATAAATTAAGGCTGTCGCTACTTACTGCTGCAGGTGCGGTTGAACTTGCTATTTTCCTGTGGGTGGCCCTTCAGTCGACAGTGGAAGCGATGTTGCCAAAATTCGGTAAACCAGGGGTTCCTCAGGTTGTTGTCAGGGCGCAGTTTAAGGTAGTAGTCGTCAAACCATTTGACGTCAGCAGACTGAAGCTTTATGGTGATGCCACCGGCAGCTTCCTTCACGTAACCATCTGTCACGTCATACCGGTCAGCCCAGCCGTCACTGACGAGACAGAACAGATTCTTCTGAACATTTTTAGCATATCAAGGAAATTACTCACCTTATCATAATTCATGATGTGGGCATGTGTTGTATGATTTTTGCTTTTGCATAATCCTTGATTCTAGACAGCACTCGCCAGCAGCGCATGCCTCTGACAATGTATAAACTAGCATCAGTTGTAAAATGGCTGAAAGGCTGCTTCAGTGGCATTGACACTTCTTATGCTGACATTATGAAGGTACTCCATGACAGCCACCAGGCCATGTTAAAAACGATTTGCATTTACCTTTAGCATGCAAACGGGAAATGCGACCAGTGAGTAAATCCAACAAACCTGTCACCTCATCTTCACTCTACCCTCAAATTCCGCACATTACAATGTCACTGACGGCACAGCCTCTCACGCAGCAAATTTTATTTCAGTAGACTGACAGGGATATGGATATTGACAGTTTGCCTTCCATCTTGAGCTTCGCGAGGGCAAATAATTGGTTGGGGCAGGGGTGGGCAGCACGTACCATCGTAACTAACTGCCTGTTTATATCACTGTGTGGGTCAGCTACTGCAAGACGTAATGGTTGTATTGCAGTCCGAACAATTTACTTGATGAGTTGATGTACAGCGCATGTCAATCACATTACAGTACTCCATTCTTTTTCTCCATGAAAACTGCAAACTTGCATCACTTTTTGAAATGTCCTAAATGCTACCAAAACACAACGAGAGACCACCATTACACACACGCACACGCCCACATACGCACACGCCTGGGCTAACAGGTCAGAACTGACAAACTTGGGCACACCACTCATAACTTTTGCAAATTAGCTATTAACCTCCGAATTGAAGTTTTTCATCATACATTCCGAGGGCCAAAAACGATTGCCAAAGCAATCTTTCATTTACATCACAGTCTAAGACATTATGATAAAACACGATCACAAATAAAGGATGTGATGAATGCGCCAGTCATTTCTAATCATGCTGTGAAGGCGGGGAAATAATTGTCGCTCGCACATTGTGATTGAAATCTAATCAGAGTCACCCTGTTTCTGGGGATCACACTGCTTTGCAAGTATTTGTGTCTATAATAGGCAGAGTTAGTGAGTTCTTGCGAGAAATCAACATTCCGAAGGCAGAGATCACCATGTCTCTCGTTCGAAGCAACAAAAGAAGGAAGAAGAGAGATTTCCAGAACCAACAGTTGCCATGTTTTGTTTTTTTTAAACACAACCATAAAAACATACTCTTGATTGCATATATGATGCCAATTACAAAGCGTTAGTAGGAATAGATTTCATGACACACAGGTGCTCCAATTACACTGACGCTATGGAACTACGTGGGCGATGTTTCAGTAAAAGGGCTTTGCAAGAGCTCGACTGTGTTTCGGGGGGGGGGGGGGGGGGGGGGACACCCTGAACCGTTTGCCAGCCAATCACAAGGCACACAGAGACGAACAACCATCCGCGCTCACACTCACACTGAGAGATAATTTAGAGTGGTGTTGAGAGATCTGGTGTGTGTGGGGGGGGGGGGGGGGGCAGGATGACTACGAGCCGCACGTTGACAGGACGTGCTTTTGTGTGAGGCAGAAATACTGATCAGAGCTGGGGCTGATACCAGCTCGCTCAAAAATGACTGATGCTAATGACGTTTTGGTTCTCTTCTTTCCAACTCCCTCGGTCTAGGACCCAAGGGCTGTTGCCATGGTTCTCAGCCCACGCTCAAACAACTGTCTGCGCTTCGTGGTCTCATAAAAACACACTGTTTTTCCAGTACTGTATGTGTGCACAAGCATATTCACCTAGCATACATTTTAGTGTTCGCTCTGAAAGAAACGTGAGCTGCCAATAATGGAAATGTGATGTGCACGATAGTACATTCTGTCTATTGTAATCCACACAAGCTGCAGCGTAACCTGTACACTATTCAAAGCCATGCAGTGAGCATTTCCATGCCATCTTTAAAGAGTAAAAGTGGAAGAAACTGTAATCCATTTGTAAATTGTTAATTTGCATTTGATTACTTCTTTATTAAAAAATCCATCTCAAGCCTGAAGTATGTGACTAATGTGGCTAAGCATAATTGCACCATAAATCAAGGCAAACTCGACTGCATATTTCATCCAAGCTAACGTTCAAACGTTAAGTGCGCCTTTACCAAAGTCTTTTGAGATGGGAAATGTTCACTTGATTAATTGCTTCACTTTCACCTCAATCATGTTGTGTTTAAAAGTAACACAGTTACAACGATTAGTTTGATTAAAAGGTGTAGGAACAAAAATTGTCCTGAACTGTAGCAACATTTGTTTGGCTCAAAATACTCTAATTACCGATACGTCAAATAGTGTGTCTTGGCACAATATTTCATTCTGCTTCAAAACAGTGCAGCTAATGGATCACTGCCATAATGAACAATGCTGTATAATAACGTGTTGACTATGCATGGCACGCTTAAACTGCCATGGTAATCTGGCAAAAATTCTAGAACAGCATTGACTGCTTCTTGCCAGACAAAATATACATAAAAGCCACTTTGCACATGCCTACGCGCAGGTATACAAGTGCACACACAAATCAGGAGGTTAATTCAAATATGTAGCATTGATTAGTTACAAAGCACTTTTCCCTTCCGCCGAAAATGAATGTCTGATCTAAATTCTCTGACGCCATCTTTCAAATGTTCAGACCCCCCCCCCGAGGTTTTTGTTTTTTTTTTTGTATCTGGGGATTAACAAATGTGGTGCAGTCCATTCAAACAGTGTGTAAGAATCTCTCACTCTTCGCATATAATCTCCCGCAGAATGAGCGTTTTACAATTGTGGACAAATACAAAGAGATCCAATCAGTGTATGAAACACTCCTTTTCAGGAGACACAGACAGTTGGGGAGAGAACACGTGCCATCAATGCGCAATGATTCGTGTTAATGTTTCATGGAAAAACCAGATGAAGCGGGGGGTAGAAAACCACACCACAACAGAGCATCACTGCGTTTAGTTCGAATAACTTAAAGGGCGCGGAGGTAATTTTTGACCATATTCTGATAGTGTTTGAAATTCTATACAGAGAAGAAAAACAAGCAGTCTAACGTAACAGCCCTCAAAACCCAAATTGACAGACTTCTACTGACCTCACAAAAATGGATGCGAGGCCAGTACCCGCATATATGCTACTGTCGGGAAGTTACTTCATGTACTGTAATTGATCTGACCATTTCGGACAGATGACACTCAACGACACCAGAGGAAGAGCAGCCCACATTTATTCCCCCGGCACATGGTCCAGTTTCACTCACGACTGATGTCAAACCTCATTACACCCACCCTCTTTTCCTGACAACATCACCTTTGTTGTGACTGCTATTTTCTATATTACCATGATGAAGACTGAGAAACCACTAGTTGTCTTTTGTAGTTATTCCATGCCTAAAAAAGAATGTTGGTGCAGCAGCTTGCAGGGTGCCACAAATAGGGTCCTGTGATGAACAAAATGGCGGCGGGGGTTAGTTACAGAAGACTTGCGCTCACACAATTGGATAATCGATGCTGGACTGTTCATCCTTCCATTTCGTTTATCTTATTGACTCCAAGTTCTGATATGAGATTGTAAAAAAATACATGGTGGCTTGAACTACTGCACTGGCATTGAATCTATTTGCAAACATCCATCCATCCATCCATTTTCCGATACGCTTTATCCTCACAAGGGGGGTGCTGGAGCCTATCCCAGTTGTCATCAGGCAGTAGGCAGGGGACACCCTGAACTGGTTGCCAGTCAATCGTAGGGGCACACAGAGACGAACAACCATTCGCGCTCACACTCACACCTAGGGACAATTTAGAGTGTTCAACCAGCATGCCATGCATGTTTTTGGAATGTGGGAGGAAAGCGGAGTACCCGAAGAAAACCCACGCAGGCCCGGGGAGACCATGCAAAGTCCATGGATGTCATAATATCTTACCCATTTCGACCTGTGCATCCATTCATGCACTGACACAGTTGTGGGTAGGGCTGAACTTGTGAAGTGACTTTGGGCCAGTTCATCACAGGACACACCAAGACAGACAACCATTCATACTGAGCAGCACAGCAACAGCACAGTCATTGAGTGGGAACGAGTCCCCCGTGAGCCGTGTGTGTAAAAGCCCGCCCAGTGGAGCACTCCACTAGCAATGATGTACCATTTGGATTTGTTTAAAGAAAAGATTTGTCACTGGGAAATAATTTAATACAATATGTGTGTTGCACATACAGCACATTTGACGATAAAGTTGTACTCGACTTGACTTGAATGTATCTTGAGCAATGCTGAAATGCTGCAGGCCGCACGCAGGCCAGCGTTCATTTCGAACGCCGGCAAGGTGAACCCCGAAAAAGACAAAAACTCTGACATCACGCTGCATTTGAGAATCTCTTCTTTTTCCCACCACTGAACACAAACAACAGAAACCTTTATCGGGATGCACGTACGCACAAGCCTTTAATGGCATATCTTTGGCAAGCTAATGATGGCCCAGTGGCTGCCTTAGACAAAGCAGTCGAAGACATTGTCCTCTTTACACGCTGCCAGTAATTACATGGGTTGCAGCTGTGCACGCACGCACACACACACACACACACACACACACACACACACACACACACACACACACACACACACACACACACACACACACACAGATACAGAACTCGCGTGTTTGACAGCAAAGATTAGCGTGGAGTGGTGCGGCTAATGCTCAGTAGCGACACATTATTCAACGTATCACCCACAGAATCGTGTGTGTGTGTGTGTGTGTGTGTGCGCACGCTCACATTCGTGCATGGTCCAAGTGAGAACCAGGCAACTCCTCAGTAAATTAGCAGTGTGTTATTCTGGACTTTAATTGCACTCCCCGACATCTCAGTGGTACCACATGCCCACAGACAGAGTGTTCATCTTTTTCTCTCGGTCTTCACTTGATACCCCAACTCATTCCTTTCTGCGCTGCGAGTCTAGGCCAAAAAGGGTCCTTTAAGTTTGTTAAGAAAGTTCAAAATTAGGTGAGAATGCAACTGCAGCTAAGGAAAGGGAAAAAGAAGGTTTGGTGAGGAGCTGTAATTTCCAATCTACACAAGTAGAGATCCTTATCTGTCCATCTTTTTCGAACATTCTCCCTCACACTCTATTTTCTTGCTTTCAGTCATGGTGGTTGCTATAGTAACAAGCTGGGTAGGGGGCGGGGAGGGAGGGGGGGGGCTGTGATGCAGCACACATACTGTATCACCAGGAGCAGAGAGAGAAAGAAGGACGGCAAAAGAGAGTGATTAGCGGGTGACGGGGTGTCAGTTGCTCATTTCGCTTTTGTCACCAAGCATCCACATTTGCCACTTCTTCATTTAAACTTTGCCCAACTGTCGGCTAAATCAAACTCATACGAACTAAACTAAATATACCAGCAATCTTTAAACGCATCACTTTTAGGACCAATGACGAAAATGTTCACAGGACCTGACTGTTGGGAAAAAAGTCGGGAAAAGCGTTTTCAATTCAGTGTTGGAGGTTTAAGCGATTTTAGAATCAAGCATACAGGACGCAAATTCTCATTTCGTAGTTAAACTCGAAATGTGGAAAGAAGCAAGCGTGAAGCAGAAGAGAATGACTGTTTTTTTTTGTTGTTTTTTTTTTGACAGAACTGTTGTACCACTTCCCACAGTCTGGTTTGTCGCAGACTTCTGAAACCTTTTTTTTTTCTCCTCCCACCTTTGTTCTATTTATCTTTCATTTCTTCTGATTGCAATTGATTTCCAAGGCTGCACACGCAGTACTCATTTTCTGATAATCCACCACTAAAATTGCACCGTTGCCCTGTGAAGTCAGCGAAGTTCCAACTAAAATAGAAGTGACCACGTTTTTGTCAAAATGTTCAATGCTTTTCAAATGTGGTAACCTCGTGTTGTACGCTCATATTTCCCATCGTCTGCTCTTTCTCGAGGGCATCGCTGTTCATGTTTCATTTAATTACCTTTTTCCGAGTTCAGTGTCTGGACTAAATTAGAGGTTAATTAATTTCCCATTCAGGAACAGCATGACCATGCAAGACACTTTGTTAGGTAGCCTTTCAAATGTCTGATGAATGAGGTGAGCACAAAAAAAGAAAAGGACATGACAAGATATGAGATAAAAGGACGAAAGGAAGTAATTCAATTGAGTAACTACAAAGAACCGACAAGAGAAAAAAGAAGATTTGTGCCCTTTCTTTTTCTACACGAATCCACATATGATGCTTTAACTAATATTCAGGGAAAGTGATATATGGAATGTTAAAATCAGTATGGCACAAACATGACATACTACTCAACTACAACATGAAAAAGGAGAGTCATATGGGTGCATAACTTCTGTATATATATATTTTTTTTTATAGGATTACCTGTGGGGCCACTTTTGAGTTTGCACATGGCAGAGTTTAATTGTAATGCATAATTCTCTGCAGATAAACATTAAAATGAGATTCTTTCCCCTCTTTTTCCGTCCATTTTCATCCATTACCATCATAATTCACAGAATTTCTACCATCGGAGCGCTGTAAGAGGAAGAAACATTCCCTGGCATGGTTAGACGTACGTACAGTTTTGATTCAAAGTATGTGAGGCCTTTTCGTCATTGCGGACGCTCGAAATGGTCAAGTCACGCCGAGCGGTGTTAAACACTCGGTTTAATCAGATCAGTGGCAAGTGAATAATTATCTTTATCATCATCTGTGCGCTCTTGTGGTAATATAATTATCTTGACATAAAAGAGTGCCTTCCCAACAGAACGGGGCTAATCATTTTCTTCTCCGGACCTCTGCTGAGTCGAGCATTCACCCGTGACCACCTCTAATCTACTCCCGGTTTAGTACGGGACGAACGTAACTGAAGTAATCAAAACAAATTGGCCACTAAGACTGTACGCGCAAGGCTAATATACAAGAGCACCCCCAAACGCGTCAACTCCAAATCTAGAATTTCCAGCCAGCGCCCTCATACAAAATTTGCAGTCAAGCAGATGAGTAATAGATGAGTTTCCATGTGTCAAACCAGCATGCATAATTTCCTCCACATTAACAGCCAGGTAAATCCTCCATTAATTTTTTTTAATCGCACCACTTCTTCTTTCGGAATTACAAAATAATTTTGTGAAGTTTTTTTTTTTTTTTCAATCTGCTTTAAATTCTTGATCACACGTTCAACAGTCAGAATGGAACAGCCCATGCAGGATGGTAGACTTTACCTCACTCGGCAGGATGACGATGATCATGTTGATGATGATGATGATGATGATGGTGGTAAGGACGAGCACGATGATAATAATGAGCATCATGGTGCAACACGAAAAGGATGTTGTTTGGTTGTCTTAGCTACAGAGTGTAGATCACTGCAGAAAAAAAGTTGATTTATATCACATTGGAGATATGTTAATGTCCAATCATGTGAAAAAAAAAAAACTCTGTATCAGGGACAGTTGTTGGTGGCATCGGTGAAAACAATTCGATATTCATCTTGTGATTATAACAACATTCTTAAACGTTCAGAAGCACGACACGCATGAACAGATCAGTCGAGTTGTTTTTACTTCTGCATGTGAAATATACAAGGGATCCTTATAAGTGAGAACAAACGCAAAGTTGCGGGCAATGAAGACGCTTCAAAGAAATCTCGGGTGGTAAAATCAGCGGATCGGTCGACTTTTTGTAAGCATTTGATCAGTTCATATTCGTCTTTTTGATCTAAACTGGAATCCATTCACCCAACTTAGTGAACACAGCAATGTTACTGACCTGCCAACGAGAAGAAACTCTCCCACCAGTCCTTGGCGCCTCATAGCCATGAGGATATTCCGGACAGTCATGCCCTCGCAGAAGCACGCCACCACCCTGGCCTTGGGCAGGTGGGCCTTCAGCCTTTCCACCAATCGGTCGAAGCTCTGCTCTCCAGCATTGCTCCAGATTTTGCCTGAAGCAAAAGAAACCGGCACAGCCTGTAATGCTTTCCGGTCTTTTTGGTGTCCTGCATTGCATTACATTTTTGCTTTTGGAATTTATACTTTCACTTTCAACCATCAAACGCGTGCGATACCATGCGTCATAAAATCTCAAAATGATTTGTCTCGGGGTTCATATCCTACCAGAATGAGCGATGCAAATGCCCTCTTTGGCCGCCATGTCCTTGAATGCTTCCATCCCACTTTCGCCATAGTTGCCTGGAAAGATAAAAAAAAAAAAAAAAGGTTTGCAAAAGACGGAGGGAAAAACAACTCCGAGGAAGGCATGGGACAGACATCCCGACCCAGTTCCCTGACTCGTCTGCCAGAGCACAATTCATTAATCTCACATTTGTGTCAGGGAAATTGTCTCCCTACTGTGGCGCCCGTTTCTTTGCCAAAGAAAGTGGGTGACCTGGAATTTATGCAAATGAAAGGTTGTACACACTGGCAACAAAAATGATAGGATTTCCCTGCCCAAAATCTCCCTCTTTCCCTTTCATTTGGCCATTTTCTTTTTCATTGACAAAAAAAAAAAAGAAAAAAATCCCTCCACCAGGGTTTTCTGAAAATCACTCAAATATATTAGCTCTTGTGGTTTGCCCCTCTCTAAACTATGTGTGAGATCAATAACAGAAGGTGATCTCAAGTAGGCTGCTCTCAACTGTGGTGCAAAGTAATTTGTGAACAACCAACAAGGCCAAGAAATAGTTGGGGGTAAAGTTTGAAAAAAAAAAAAACAGTCACAGGAGATCACGGCATGTGTGTGTGTGTGTGGGTGTGTTGGGCGGGGGAGGGGGGGCGGATGTCGGGGTCCATGGCATTGACGAGTGTGTCAGAGCTAAGTATAAATTCCTGTAATTAGTCGCTCAGTGAGAAGAGCAGCAGACAGATGGTGCAGACCATCCTACCCTACACACTCACACACACACGCACACACACGCACACACACACACACAGAGTTTAAGTCATCAGAAGCGATAAAGCTTGTAACCTACTTCAGTCGAGTCTCAACAGGGATTTATGTGAGAGACATCTTTTTCATCGAGTCTCCCTGTAATTCTTTCTGGCTTTGAACGTTTGCCTTTAAACTGTTATGTGCACGACATTCCTGGCAGTATTTCCCAATGATGTCTCATTCTTAACTCATTCCCACTCTTATATTGTTGAGAAACTGCACGTCATTTTTCTTCACCTAAAATATATTTTTTTTTGGTTTTTTAATACAGTCACATGAGTAACCCAGCCGCTTGGGGGCAGTGCCCTCCCCTGGGGGTGCACTGTTCCCCAGTGCCGGTCCCAAGCCCGGAGAAATGGGGAGGGTTGCGTCAGGAATGGCATCCGGCGTAAAACTTTTGCCAAGACGACCATGCGAGTTGGTAGGACGGTTTACAGGGGCGGATGGAAATTACTGACTCGCTGTGGTGACCCCTGAATAGGGACGTGCCGAAAGGAGAAGAAGAAGAAGAAATACAGTCACATGAGTTTTCAATGCAGTCCGCATAACATCTATAATCTGCCCGAGGAGCTGCATTTAGGTCTTACCAAGCGAGTTCCTCAAGGCCGACTGTCTCCTTTTTACAAGCGAGAGGCAGATTCCTCGGGTGTCATTTCCGCTGACATCCTTCCTTCCTCCGCTCTCCCACTTCTCTCCTTCCTCTATCCATCTCACTTAGTACTCTCATCCTCTTATCACATCTCACCTGCTAGTCCCCCATTTTAACATGCTTGTCTCTCCACTCCTCGGCCCTCATCTCCTTTCTTCCCGGCCAATGCTTCACCACGGGGTTAAAAAAAAAAAAAAAAAACAGCATGTAGTAAACATTTTGTGTTTGTCCACAACCAGGATTTCTTGAGTGACATGCGCATACAGTCGCTTTCAGACAAAAATCCAAAGAGGCACACAGGCTCAATGACATTCACATCATGCCACTTGCAGAACTGAAATGACACATGAACAGCTCCGTGGTAGCCTTGAAGTACAACTTAATTTAATATGTACTCGGGATGAGTGAGTACCAACACCGAGTATCGGTATCGGGCTGAGACCCGGCCTCAAGGTTTTGGTACTTGCGACAGCTGCTAATAGCAAGATGAGACAAGGAACTGAAAGAATGCATGGCTGACAGATTAACACACATGACAAGGATTAACATCCTTATAACCATCCGTTCATTAATTCAGTTATATCATCCACTGATAAATTTTATTGTTTTCGTCCATCCATCCATTTTCTGATCCGCAACATCAACACTGAAAGCTTTTACATTTAGGACAAACTTTACTCAACTGTACTGTCGTCAATTGAAACGTATTGCACGTAAGAGGTAAAAATGGCACACGAATAAATGTTTAAAAAGAAATAGTTCGATGAGAGTGGACCACTGCATACTCGCAGTTTGCTACCCACAAATTGTTTGATGTGTTCAACCAGCTTCAGTCGAAAAATAATAATTTCACTGTTAATCATGGAAGATATAGGATAGGATGATATTTTTTTTAAATACGGCCACCATTCAGTTGTTTCAGCTTTCTAAATCTATTACTCACTTTCGTGCATATTAGCTTCTAACATATCTAAGACGCTAATGCTGAAAATAAATATGTGATTCTCAAACCCCATCCCCAGTCTGCAGTTACTGTACACACTCTTATCTATTCCAAGCACTCCATTTACGTAAACCACACACACACACACACACACACACACACAACCCTGTGTGTGTGTGTGTGTGTGTGTGTGTGTGTGTGTGTGTGTGTGTCCCATTCCTCTCTCTTCCTTGTTTCATCCAAACCTCTCCTTCCCACACCACCCCCACCCTCGATGCTTCCCCTCCTCTTTTTCCCTTTCCCCCCCCCCCCCCTCTTTTTTCTCACACCCCCTCTTCTTTCTCACACCCTCCCTCTCTGGCTCTGTGTGCCTTGATTACATTTCAGAAAGCAACACCCGACCTTGAATATTTATGCCAAGGTCAATACGCCTGTGTCCTAACCAACACATGGCTGACGTACTACACACCTTTACAAAGCAAGTCCCCGCAGACACAAACAGCATTTTAAACCCAGGAACCCAATCAAGCATCATGAATAGCGACGTGCAAAAACATACTCATGCACACACATAAGAGGAGTAATCGAATTTTCACTCGTGAAAATGTGTCACATCGCAGAAAAAATACATATTATTTGCTTGGGCATGCCCCAAGTGGGCAAATGGCTTCCTAATCAATAGTCTGACTTGATCAGAATTGTCCAACTGTAATCCCTGAAGCACAATGATTCAATCTTGCACTCCTATTTCAGTCCACCTGAAGACTGCAACCACACTTCACAAAAATGTGAAGTAATAGCAAAATAAAGTGGCGGTCTCAGTGTGCACATCCTCTTAATCTGCTGATTAAGTCACCAATCCTATTTAAACATGTTAATTGTCACTGGCCGACGATGAAAGTGCCTCGGGAGTGATGAATTCTAATCCAGATGATGTAGTAAGTCGACTTGTTGCATTTGACAGCAAAAGCCACGGTCAAAAGAGGAAATGGCGGGGTGTGTAGGATGCTGTACCTTCAGTGTTGATGGCAGACACATAGCTCCAGTTGTATCTCTTGACAATGTCCACCATGGCCCTTGCCTGTTGAGCGTCTGATGGCACCACCCGCATGAAGTACTTGTAAAGACTCTGCCAAAAGTAGAGATGAAATGAAGAAACAGCGTCATACGATTATTTATGAGCAAACATTCAGCAAAATGTGTCTCACCTTATCACTCAGATCCATACTGGTGGCAGAGTAGGCAATTTGTGGTATGTTGAACAGCTGAAGAAGGTTCTGGACCTGGATTGCTACTGAGCTTGATCCCGGCCCGATTAAGCCCACGATGGGCTTTTTCCCTCGCATGGGAGTGGCAGAGGGGTCGGTGCACTTCATGGCTGCTCCCCCACCGCCGCCTCCCCAAGGGGTTCCTCCACCCCACTCCTCTGCCTCATCGGAGGATACCAGCGAATCCCGAATAAATTCGATGCTCTGCTCCAGAGCCACGGCGGAGTGCCAACAGGAGTCGCGGATCTCACATCCGAGGGTGATGTTGGGAAGGATGTGAGGGTCTGCGTTGATGCGGTCCAGCGTGTGCATCATGGCCTCCACCCGCTGGATGCCATACTGCTCTCGAACCGCGCCACACTTGCGTTCATGAACCTGGAAGGAGTAAGGATTCAACACGACAGGTAAGAAATCCTAAAAATCTTGGTCAGTGTAGTTTTATAGCGGTCTTCATTCAGGCATATGTTATTTTATACATTATAGTGTAAAACAAACCAAAATATTCCCAAACCAACCTTGTCTGCAGGGGGCTGATGATGCACAGAGAAAAGGGCTCCAATTATGATGTCGCCAGGGATGTGGGCTACAACTCGCCGTTCACTAGACTGGACAGAGTCCGTTTGCTCAAACGTCGCCCAAATGAAGAAGAGGAGTCGCCACAGAATCATCTTGTGTTTGTTTATTGAGCCAAAGGTGAAATGAAAAGATCCTGTCACAGGCAACGACTGCTCCTGCAAAGACTTTTTCTGGCCATGCCAAAAGCACTCTTCTTTCAGGTTGCTTTAACTCATTCTTTTCTTCCGTGTCTTCAGATGTCAACGTTGGACCGTCACTAAAACAGTGACAGGTCTAGCAATGCAACTTGGAGAATTTAACAGAAAATCTTGACTGAGGCTCAAGAAATGATCGAACTCCAGAGGCAGAGCTTGTGTCCAAAGTGCGTGGCAGCAGACCGACATGTTCACATGAACCTGCAAGAAGGGGGGAAGGGGAGGAAATGCGTCAAGCTTAAACACTGAAAGGTGCTACAGGATATAACGCCCACGCACATTACATGTAATCAATGCAAAAATAATACATATTTTGCAAAATAATGATGGCAAAATAGGGACATTGACATCTCAATTGGAAAACTGAAGTGCAGTGAGGTGTAAATGGACGCCCCGACTCACAATGGGCCTTTTAAAGTGAACCCCCTGAAGCTTGAAACATTTTCTCTATTTTCAAAGGACAGCACATCTGCGGGAAAAGCGCAAATGATTTTCATGTGATTGCAAAGTTTGCTGTGCTTGTTTGTAAATTTGGCAGACCGGTCGAGCCAAGGTGGGCGTGATTAGGGAGATGCGCGTGCCGGAGTGACAATTTGGTGGCAGTAAGTCGATCTAAACTTGCGACTGCTCAGATCACAAAAACAAAAGCCTGGGTTTGATGCAACGTTAAGAAAAAAAATTACCTTAAATGTAAAATATTTGAATGTCAAACTATATTAAAGTGCATCATCAGCAAAATGACACAAGGAGTCAGGCTACGCCACAATCGGTCTAATCAGATTTTCAGATTCAGATTCAGATTCAGAAAACTTTATTTATCCCCGTGGGGCAATTAGAGTTGTACGAGAGCGGCTTATTGTAGAGACAGTAGGAGCAAGGAAAGACATAGGATAAGAGTAGCTTAGCACTTGAGGTCTTGAGGTAGTGGCTCCAGCATCAAATAGTATTGCACATCGAGCAGTATTGCACAGTGAGGACACAGTAAGACAGTATTGCACATGAAAACAGTATTGCACGTCAAGTATTGCACTGTAAGCCCGTATTGCACAATGGGGTATGCGAGTTTGAATGGTGGGGGAGGGGTGTCAGGGATATTGGAATAAGAGTTTAAGAGTTTAAGAGGAGAACAGCCTGGGGGACGAAGGTGGATCTCCTTCTCGCTGTCCTGCAAGCTGGGAACCGCAGCCTGCGGCCGGAGGGCAGCCATTCGAACGCGGGGAAGAGAGCATGTGAGGGGTCTTTCATGATCTGAGCAGCTAGACCAAGGATCTGCTGCTCGCACACTGCAATCAGAGGGCGAGTGGGAAGTCCGATGATCTTGGAGCAC